TCTATAGTGGAAACAAACTCAGTGAAGCAGCTCGTAATACTTTGGATTTGCATTACTCCTATGTTAGATTTTGTGGACGATTACCCACTCTCAATGAAATGCCAAATTTGTGGGTTCCAATTTACCATGAGTTATGCGTTCTTATGCTTTCACGCACGAACCTGAAATACGATCAGGGTGTTGACAGGTTATAGATAGATTCCTTCTCAAATCTCTGATATTTTTATGTAGCTATAGATTTAAATTTCTACTTGCACCCATAATACCATATTCAGCATTCGCTTGCCGTATAAAGTACTGAACGGCTGCTTCGTCCTCAGGAATCGCCGTCGGTGCAAATTCAACCCGCTTTCTGTGGAACCAGTACTCACCACGCTACTCTTGCGCGTCCTAGGCTGCTTATAAGGCTAGATGCTAATTAGTAGCCTAGGCTTTGGTAGTTGATGCTCAGGGACCACCCTGTCTTTACTCGACAGTAAAATGTGAACCATTGAATAGTCAGTCGCGCTATATCACACCTAACAGCTTAGCTATATCGATCGCAGCCATCCCCCGTGATCCAATGGTCTTAACAAAGGACTCGTAAGAGCAGGGTCATGCGTTCTGGCCCCCAAAATACCCAAATGGGATATGCTCCGCTGATGACTCACGGAAGGAAGAAACGGTCATCCAGTGTGTTACGGAGCCTTTCAGGCCTGCCTAACTGCGTATGGACGTGATGTGTTGCACGAAAATTGACTGATAACAGGTCGTATGTGTTTTAGGGACAAAACTAGCCGAAATTCATTGTTACCATAACTTTTTTAACCATTTACATGAACGAAGGGCAAGAGTTAATTCACTGTCCTCATAACAGTACTTGCTGTGATCCTTATAATTGACTGACAGCAGGTCACATAATTAACCATGCTTCTAACAAGTTCTGACTTTTTGTAATTTTCAGCTCGCAAATAATACCCAAGGAAAAGTAAAAGCTCTGTGTAGATCATGGATCTATTATTGAAAAATCGATAGCGCGGCGATGAGGTCTCCTTTGGACCCCTCCTTGCCGACACCTTTCTCGCAAGGCATGAGCATGGTCCCATCCGACCGGTAATTGCATCATTAGATTCTTACTGGATGACGGTTCCATCCTCTGTGATTCTCGCACTGATGTCACTCGTGTACTTGATCAGTTTAACCGTGCGCATCATTCCATGAACTTCACTAATGAAAGGAGGAAAAGAAGGATAGCTGTTTTTCTGGACATACTGTTGAGGATGCGCAAAGGTGGCTTACTTGAACGAAGTGTTTTCCGGAAAGCCACATTGTTTGGCCAGTACACACACTTTCGGGCTACGTTCCTCTGCAATACAAACGCAAGTTATTGCGTTGCTTGTATTACCGGGCTACTAAAATTTGTAGTCCGGAAACACTCGAGGGTCAGAAGGCCAGAATTGTGAAAACACTTCTTTCGAATGGTTACCCTAGATCTTTAATCAAAAAGCACACTATGACGCGCGAAAGCTTTAAGCCTGCAGCAACAGTTTCAAAAAAGAATGTGTTTCTCTCCCTTTCTTTAAAGGGAGATATCGCCCTCGATCTCTTGAATAGGATACTTTAAATCGCTGTAACAAACACCTACCTGGCCGCCCACTAGCATGTCCTTGCGGACAGCGCACGTTATATAACTCAACTTCTTAAAGAAGGAGTGTCAGTTACGTCCAAATCGTACATTGTTTATCAGTTTACTTGCACCTGTGGTGTCGGTAACTCGGACAAACAACCAGGCATCTGTCAGTATGGATGCCTGAGACCCATCTAGCGTCACTGTGGACAGCACGCTGAGCAATAGTGACAGTTCCATCTTAAAACATTTTCTTCAAAGTGGGCACCCAAATTTCGACCAAAGATGCCTTCAAGGTTTACTATGCCGTACCGAAGCGATACCCTAAAGGGTTGAGGAAACGCTCCTTGCAGACGACTGAGGCGATTGCGATCAGGCTTACAGACGGAGCTGTGCAAGCATAGGATGCTTGTGCAAAGCTTGAATTTGACATGGTCCTGACGAGAAATCGTCCCTTAGGGGCATTACAAAAATGTAGGTTTTCCTTTATTTTCTGAGCTGGTATATATTTTAACCCTTATGCTAACCCAAGTTGTTTTGTTGCGCAAGTCTGTTAGTCCAATCGCGGCAGCACTTGATTAGATTCGGTTGAGCATTGAACGAATGTGCTGAATTTGTTCGAACCATCTCATCCGTTCTCAGCTTTGCCATCACCAGCCTACTGTTGCTTTTATCAATCATGTGTATGTAATTGTGTGTCCTATGCTGAGGTTGATGTTGCATTCATGATGCTTCTTCAACGCAGTTGGGCTAAACCAACTTACAATTAAACTAGGTCCTTTTAAGCTGGATACCTTTCATGTCACTTTATTTGGTTTGTTTTGTCTTTTGACTGCTTCTTTGGACGTCCGGACTTTTTGTAGCTTTTACGGATTCCTCGCTAACCAACTTACTTCATATGCTAATTTAGCGAAGACTTCTGTCTGAATAGACGTATTCTTTAACAGATATATTTTATTTGCTAATGTCATTTCAAGTGATTGGCTGCTGTTTGACATCTCCGGTGTGGCTGCGATTGATGTACATATTGACAAGGTGCGTACCTGTCTATTACCCACTATCTCGTCCATACTAGCTCCGAGAGACAGTTGGTCGTTTCTGGAGGGGACGGGGTGCACTGTCCTCGTGGTCATGCTACGCTCGAAGAGTGGTTCCATGCACTCAGTGTGGAGTGGACTACGATCCAGCCCCTGCCTTGTGTGCGCTTGATTCCCAAATACAGTGAGCTTGTGTTTACCTTTAAAGAAGTGTGAGTTGGCTCCGTTGATGAAACGTGGCTGCCATCCACATGCCTCCTGGTCTTATTCCTTCGGGTTTGCACTGAATATGGGGTAGGTGGTTGGAGCTGTGGGTGGTGCAGCGCAAGCCACCCATGGTCCCTCTGTAGGCGCAGGCGTCATGTGGTTGGCCACAGTGACCGGCAAATCCGAAACTGGATACCGCCAACCATATGTAATTGTCTGGTGTGAATTACCGAAAATAGATCCCTTTGAAACCCTCTGTTAATCCGTGTTTTGTAATTTACTCACTCGGGATTTTGTACCAACTTATTTGCGTTTATTGATAGTAGAAATTGACCTGTTTCTTCTGGCTTTTCAATGAGGAGGCGGCAGAATGAACAGAACATCTGCATCGTAAATCTACCGAAGTTCATTATGCAACAGCGGTTTGGGTCGCGTTTTGTCCCCTTGACAGTCGTCTGGTCGAAAGCGATAACAGCAAAGCGGTTCTCAAAGAACAACTGGCACTAAAAGTGGCCTGTCAACTGACGAACCATGGAAAAAACCACATGTCAGTCTTTTCTATGATGCTTCCTGTCTGTAGTTTGGTAAAACTATTTCACATGCGGCTTATTCCAAATCCAAACTTTCCTTCATAGAACTTCCTAGAAGCATAGAACTTCCGTTAAGTGATGGTGTTTTGGATATTTGACTGATAAAGCCTAACTGCGGTTTATTAGCGCGGACCATAGAGGTTGGGGGGAAAATTGGTACAACTGTAGTTAAAATGTTTTATGATGTGCAAACACATACCAAGTATTTCAGGTTACCAGTTAACTCAGTTCGGAAAACAATTTGCTGTGGAGAAATATCAAATCTTGTGGTGTTTCCATCGCTCTTTCCTGCCCTAGTTTTTTTATGAGCAGGATAGGTGAAACTATTATTATGGTCCCCGGGTATTCAAAGCAGCTCCATACATATAATTGTATTTTGCCTAAGCTACATAGGGGGGACACTATAAGCCATGCTGTTAACCTATAGGAGAATTTGAGGTACACCTTTGTGTGTTCACAATGTGAGATGGACTGTAAAGTTGTGTAGACAACACACAATTACTGATGTTGAGCAGAGACTAGTAAGAAGAAACAGTCGCGTAGGTGTTGCAACTGCGAGCAACTTAAATAACGGAAAACTGCGTTATTTGTCTATATGTGGGTGAACGCGGGCAGATATTTGTAGATGGCTTCAACTAACCAGATTCTTAGTTCGCCAGCGGGCACAAGTTCAACCCAAGAGCCAGAAAGCATTATTTACTCAGTATAGGCGTAGGGCAGAAATATGCAATTTTATTTGAAGTTGTTTACATTATATCGGTATCTTTAGTTTCATCGCACTAAGGTATCCTAGTTTGCCTTTTTTTTAACCCATGTCATAAATTATAGCCAGGAAGATGGCAAAATGGGTTTCACTTCTTCCGCTAACCGAATCGCACAATCAGCGAAAACGGATATCTTGTACAGGAATAAAGCAATAAATACTAAATAATTTTTCCACCTAAAAAGCTGATGTGCAACAATCATCATAATGCACTTGTTTGATACCAACTTCTTCAATCACTAAGCTTTACTCCGCGAACAAATGATTTCTATGAAAACTAGGAATGCGCTAATTATTAGTTATTAATATGGCTCTAGTGGCTTCTGTTCGCCCATTGACTATGTTCCATAAAAAATCTGCTGTTTTTTACTGGTCCACCAACTTGTGTTGAAAATATTTAGGCTTAGCTTCACGTTTTACACTACTTGTCAGCATTTCTGGGTTCGTGGTGGTTCCAAATCCTAATCACTAAAGGAACACAGGTCGGCAATACTTTCCGCATTTCCATAACGCTTTACACTCCCCACATGGGCAGCAGGTTCATTGTTGACAGATTAGGTCCAATGTGTGATTGATGTCCTCTTAGTAGCTGACGTGGTTTCATCTTAATAATACCGCATGATGGCTGATATCGGATTGGATGTTATCCTGTTACACAGGCACATTAGTAGTGGTAGTGGACAACGGCCTAATGGACTCAGGCCATTCTCTGCTTTTTAGACACTTCGAGAATACTTCATTATTATTCAGGATAGAGAAGAACTACTTAACAGGCAACGGACTTCCAACTTGCTTACCGGCCTGTCGTCGAGTTTTACATTGGTAGGCACTTTGGCGACAATCCGTCGTCATCCTTTTGTTCAGTAGGAGTATATTCCTTGACGAATTATTACCCACAAAGCCAGAAGCTGCACAGTTTGTAAGCGAAGATGATCCGATTTAATCCAGAATAATCCGGTTCTAGAGTCAGCGTGGACTCGATCGAAAGGATTTCGAAAGGCGAAAGCGACTGGCTATTTCTGTGCCAGTATCACTCGTTGCAATTCTTTTGTGAATTTAACTCATACAGGACAGGTGATGGTATGATGCGTCGGTGACACGCAATCACCTTAGGCATTGGTAACCAATGTCTGACCATTTGAACGATGGGAAATACACCAGGTCGATTTTGCGCACTGTTTTGTGCGTGTGCCAGTGTGTGCGTGTGTGTTCACGCGTGGGAAGAACCAACGAAAAGCGCGCCACACCTCATGCCTGTACACACGTCGGTCGATTAAAGGATCCACAACGGCGTACTGACTGCGAATATGGAGTGCGCAATCCTACCATGCCAGACGGCTCAATAAATTGTGTTCCCGAAACAGGGCACTGTGCAACGGACACAAATGACGCAGACGCTGTAGAACAGTCTCGTTTAAAGTGTTTACCATCCTGAACAGTGGGCAGCCACTATCACCAGGGCTGAAACAGACAATTATCTGGTAGGACTATGTGGCTGAATCCTCCCAGCAATGGGTAATTAGTTTAACACCCTAGGTACTTTGACACCTTATTCACATTGTACCAATGAACGAAGGCGGACATCAACTGTCAATTCTTCTTGCCCCGGTCTGGTGCCAAATGACCACATATTTAAAAGTAGTACATTTATTTGCAGTTTGCGTGCTAGTATTACCCTGAGACGGATGCCTTTGCGCAAGCGCCCACTTGATCTATAGTCTGGCAAGTGACCATACCCATTAAATTAGTCTTATTTTTAGTCGCGCAAATGTTACTCTAATTAACTGCCACCTTGGGGTACTTCCCTGAGTGAATGGGGAGGTTCTGAGTGACGTATATACATAACTTCACCTCTGCTGGTTAGGTACATGTTCTTCATCATGATATCAAACATTTGAAGCAATATATTACTACCATATACGTTCTCAGATCTCAGAGCAGTTTGAGAGCTGATTACTCCAGGACTGTGCGACAACGTTTGCAACTTGATAGACTATTTAACTACTTTTCATGAGAGGCAGTTATTTGTGGCGAAAGAGCATTTTCTAAACCAAGCAGTGTATCCGCTGGTCGATAAAGCGGATGTTCGGTCCAGCTTCGGTAAGCAAGTGAAATCATTTGTGCACCTGTTTATATCTTAAAGTACCACTTTCGAGTAGATACAGAGGCAGATGCTTCAAGATCCTGTACCCCTCCTTAAGTTACTTTCGTTGTCTGATAAATTGCGTGGTTGCCAGTTTACGCAACATATTTGTAAGCTGTCTATTACCAGCTATGTAGTTTAAAATTGAGCTGTTACTGTAGTATTTATCTTACTTGAAAAAACCCGGCAAACTTGACATTAGGTCGTGATTAATTGTTTCGTCACCTCATCAAACACGTCCATTACATCAGCTTTGTAAGCGAGCTGAGTAAACAATCGCAGATTGTGGGGAGTTCCTGCCTTGTCACCTGGTTCTCCAGTAAGTGCCACAAGAGCTCGTACGACGCTGTGTCAAAACCAATGTAAGCGGCTATAGCGGCACTAACCACTCACTTCTGTAACCAGAAGTGAGTACCTATGGGAGCGTGAATTGTTACCAAACACTAAGAAGGAGCATGATTTACGTGGCTGTCAAAGATCTTCATATTCCGTGGCTTGTTGTGCTACTATACTCGGACTGTTCGGATGCCGGGAAAAACTAGTTACTACTAGTTACCGGCTCCCGACACTTTGTGATATAAGTTACTCGATCCGAAATCCTGAAATCCTGCGCTCTATCTACGTTCTCTGTCTTTACTTCATTCGATCGAGGTGCAAGGAACTGTCTCCGCTATACCATGCTCTATCGCACCACCTGCTAAATGTTTGTTCCACGCCTGACAGTGTACCGCCTTGAGGGACAATTCTAATCCTGTCCATGAGCAGTACAAAATCAATGTACCACGAAATTGTGTAGATATGAACAATGAACAATGATTTATCACGGGATAAAAGCAAGTGCTTGACACGTCCCGTAGGATGGTTGGTGTGAATACGATGAACTTAAAATATATGTGGGTCATCTGCCGAACATCTACCGAGATGAATACTTTGATAAATTACATCAGTGTAAAATTGAAAAAATCAAGCGTAAACGTTCAGAAAGACACTGGGGTGCAGTGATTTTTGATCTAAGGCGTGAGGAAAGTAAAGTATGGTCGCTCACTTGGGTCCATTTGATACATAAATCCTGTAGAAAAGCATGCTTGGTGTAATCCACAATTGAAGAGTTTAATTAACAAGGGGCTGGAATCTAAGAGCAACACCTAACCGTTTCTTGAAAACGTCCAAGGTAGGGGAGCATACAACTGGGTCTGGGAGTGCTTTCCAGGGTTGGCAAATCTGAACGGAAAAGCAATTACATCGACACTCTAGACGGCTATATTGTTTCTTCAATTTTAAGCCGTTACCCTTGAGCTGCGTGTTGTGGCTAAGTTGCAGCAAATGGCGGCGTAGATGGTTGGGATCCCACAATATCTGATACGCTAATATTAGATCGCCGCGCAGCCTTCGATAGCGTCCGCTGAAAATTCCCAGCAACTTCAGCCTTCGGTGGTAAGAGTGATAGCGCAGGCCCTTTACGTTCTTTGTTGCGCTTCGTTGTTGTGTTTCTAACGCCTCTAGTTCGCGCTTCAACCAACCTTGCCAAGCTTGGATAGCGTATTCAACATGCGGGCGCACGTAGGAATTGTGCATCATTGGGAAGATTGATGGGTCAAATCTCCCGAATGCCCTTCGCAGCATGCCGACGTGCTGGTTGCCTCTTTTCGCAGCTACCTCAGCCTGTTTTGAACAGTTGAGGTCGCTCTGTACGATCACACCAAAGTCCTGTTCCTGGGAGCTGGTCTGCAATCCGTGTTCCCCAAGCAAATATGTGTAGTTATGTCTATGGCGTAATTGCACAACGCGACATTTGTCTACGTTGAATGGTAGGGCGTTTTGAACTGACCAGTTCGACACGGTGTTAAGATCGCACTGGAGCCGTTCGTGGTCGTCCGGTCCTCTGATCCTTCGCCATATCTTGATATCATCAGCGAAAATAGGAAATCGGAAGCAATTGATCTCGCCAAATCGTTAATGAACACCAAGAATAGACGAGGTCCAAGAACCGAGCCTTGTGGTACTCCACACGCCACATCGATTGCATCAGACAATGATTCTCGGACTCTCACCACTAGCCGTCGTTCTTGAAGAAAATTGCCAATCCAACTCAGGATTGGGTCGCCAGTGCTGTAATTCCGAAGCTTCTGAAGGAGAATGCGATGGTCTAAGCGAGCAAACGCTTTTGCTAAGTCCAAGTAGATGAGGTCGACTCCCGCTACATCATCAACAGCTTCAGTACAGCTATTACGTGCAATTAATAGGTTAGTATTACACGAATACTTTTGACGGAAGCCATGTTGCTCTGGGGCTATTAACTTCTGACTTTCCAGATACTGCATAAGCGCATCTGCGATTATTTTCTCCATCGCTGTGGATTGTATATGAAGTAGTGTTATTGGATGGCAGTTTGTAGGGTCAGCGCGACTACCTCCTTTATGGATAGGAGTGATGACCCCTCGTTTCCATACTGGTGGAATATGGTTCTCTTCTAGAAATCCCTGACAGAAAACAGCCAGTGGTTCGGCTAGATCACTAACTATCGCCTGTGGAGCCTTTAGTCGGATGTTGTGGACTCCAGAAGAACTGTGGATACGCAAGGATAACAATTCCTTCAACACAGCTTCCGCAGTGAAGGCGAAGTTGTCTAAACCCGACGGTGGAGTAATAGAAACGAGGAGAAAATTTGGGCTCGTTACCTGCTGGAAACGTTGGGAGTGATGAAACTGTAGGACCTCGGCTGCTTCCATTGCTGATCGCATGGATCTATCAGCCGTGACTAGTTCTGGAACCCTCCGTTTCACCTTTTGAAGGCCATTAACGTGGCTGTACAGAAACTTGCGGTTCGTGCAGCATCGCTTCATGAACTCATGCTGATGAGTGACATTGTCTTCGCGGATCAGTTTCACACAGAAGTTACGATGTGGTATGAATGAAGTCCAGGTTTCGGCATTCGAGCAGTCCTGGTGATCTCGCCATGCCAAATCCTTCCGGCACATACATTTACGTGTTCTGCTCCTCAGAAATCACTTTTGCTTGTTTTTGGGTTGGAACGACTTCTGTTCCGATGCGTGCGTCACCAGTGTGCTAAACGACCTCGTAAAGGTTTCCCAGGCAACATCTAGGGGGCATTCGGTTAAGAAAGTCCAAGATGTATCCTTAACAAGCTTAGACAACACATTGTAGTGCGTGACAGTATGCACTTTATCATCCTTCTTTTTCAGGATACTCCGCATAGCATATATAGTCAAAGAGTAGAGTAACATGGTCACTACGACCCAGCGGCGTGCTTGTAACTATCCCGTCACCCATGAGTTCTTCGTTAGTTAGCACAATATCCAGTATCGACGGCTTGTTAGCAGTTAAAAATCTGGTGGATGATGTTACATGGTTGTACAGAGGGTGGCTAGCAACTAACTCTTGCAAGCAGACTTTAAACTGCATACCGTCGGTTGCCGGCCTTTCTATGTCGTGCACGTCAAAGTCTCCAGCGATAAGGATGTGGGCGTAGGACTTGTTCAAAGCAAACTGAAAAACATGGTCCAGTTTGGAGTCCATTTCCGTCGTTGAGTTTGGTGGGCGGTAAGTCACGGCTAGTAGACTTGTGTCCTTGTTTCGCAAGCATAGGCTGCACCAAAGTAAGTCAGGAGCTCCGATCTCCGGGTGATCGATAACCTCACATCGGAAGTTTGTATTATGATAAAGTATCACACCACTACCCCTTCCGGTTCTGTCGGTCCGAAGCAGCGACATACCAGGCAAATTGATCTCAGGATCGGGTATCTCAAGGTTTAACCATGTCTCTGTAATCATGACAAGGTCCCGCGGTTGTGAAACATGGCGTTCTCTAAGTTCGGCCAACTTACTTAGAAGGCCTTGGGCGTTTGTGTACATGCAAGATAGGGCTTTTGTTGTTAGGAGTGCGTTGATGGATGACAACTTTGTGTTAGTTTTTAAGCCGG